CTCTCTCTCTCGAAAAGTCTTTGCCCGCCGCAAAAAGAAAGACAGAGAGAAGATCTCTTGGCGAGACAGGCGGGGTCCATCTGAGCGTTTTTCTCCTACTTGGACGTATCGAACGTGTAAAATTATTTTTGCAAAAACATCGTCATCCTTTTACTTTTGTTTTTATTTTTCTCCGAATTATAGTCAAGAAAAACAATGGAAACTTAAAGACAGCACATCTGCACCATCTCGATGTTGATTGAAGAGAGAGAAAAAAAAAAAAAACATCATGCGTGTGAATGTATTTTCAAAACCACGTTCCTGAGTCGACAAAGCCCCAAGATAAGTAACGCCCCACATCTTATTATATACACGTACATACCTATATATGTTCGACCGAACGAAAGTAGGTATTCTTATCTCTCCGAGGAAAACTTTTACAGTACAAATATATATATATATTATACGCACAGAATAGAACCAACTTTCCCAACTTCGAGATTCAGATTGAATTAGTCAGCAGCAACGTGCCGTACTTATACATCGATATTTTTGCCAAAAACACAATCGGATTGAGCGCTTTCCTCCACACACGCGTACACTCTTATACTTATCTCTTGACAGTATATAAAACCCGTTATATTGAAGAAAGCTATATATACCCTACTACTGAAATGTATATACATGTTAAAGTAAAATTCACATGGTAACACGCTCCGTTAAATATATATGTGGAAAGAGCGTTGCAGCGATGAGAAAAAGGGTTACAGCTCTTTCGCTCTCTTTTCGTGTGCTAAATACAATGTATATGTGGTGGAGAGTCGAGAGAGAAATGGGGGTGACGTCATGCTGGACGGACAGTTAGAAGAACAGCATCATCCACCGCGTAGTAGAGAAGACGAGAGAAGAAGAGAGAAAATTCGTATTTCAAAAGAATAGAGAAAAAGAGAAAAATCCACATTTTTTTATCTACAATACGCGCATTACCGAAAATCGATATTCGTAATTTGAATATAGAAAAGTTGCCTTGAAGCCCGTTCGTACCATAGCTCCAGTGATGTGAAGCAACGTTGGGTAACTTTGTGCATGCATTTTCCATGTATACTTTTTAGAGTTGCTGGATAACATAAGTACACACCTGTGTTATCATAATGATGCGTCACATAGGTATAGCGCGCACTAATATCAGAGACTCCCGATAATCAACAAGGAGCCTTTGTTTATGACATTTCATTCAAGGTGACGAGCCTTGTCCAATTAGAAAAAAATAAAATAAAAAATATACCATCATCAGCATCTGCAGTATCAACGCAGCAGTGGCTGCAGGGGTATACAGCGGAGCCAGAGTGTCTGTCTCTCGGCTGGCCAAAAGAGCGGAGCTCTCTCGCGTGAGAAATTATCGATTAAAGTTCGCCTCCCCTCCTGTATATATGTATATCCCGCCCCATATGCAAACCTCTCCCCCAGCCCCTGCATCATTCTCCATACGATATATCGCTATACAACCACCACCATAGAGCGAAGGGAGGCTTTTTTCTCTCGATCCACTATACACATGTATAATACGCGCAGACGACCCCACACGGCTGCGGCGACAACCCCAACACATCGAGAGGGGGTGGGGTGCACAAGGTTTCTTCGACGCGCGGAAAAACTCGCGTAAACGCCACGGCCAACAACCCTTCTTGCACGCACTTTTTCGTGTGTGGGGTTTGCACTCGTGGCGTGCAAAGGGAAGAAAATAAAGGGGTGGACTGTAGCAATAAAAAAAAAAAAAGGGAGTAAACACAGGTGTGTTCGAAAAGAACCGTACGTTTTTCCCTTTAAACTGTAGGACACGACCGGTGTTTCGTGTAGGATAGGTACCTTATGTGTCATGTATACCCGTTGCTATGGGTATACGAGAGGCGGGCGCGACGGGGTGAGTCACACCAAGTATGCGTGCAGCGGAGAGAGGATCAGCGCGCCGAAAGACGCGACAGATTCGCTCTCTTTTCTTTGCTGCTGGTACACTTATAAAATAATCATCGTCATCCCAATCTCGTTTCCTCTCCGAAACCGCGCTTCATCGATAATGTACACACAATAGGGGGTTGGTAGAATTCAGAGGTGGGGAGGGGAAGAGAGAAAAGGATGTTCGTGACATGAATGACAGGCAGGGAGGGAAAGCTTACCTTCGGCGAGCTCGAGGTCCAGCTCCTCGAGCTTCTCGCGCACATCCTCTGGCAGCTTGCCGAGATCAACGACGTTGAACTCCGTCATGGTGCCGCTTGGTGTTTCAACCTTTTCAGGATACAGCCGTCGTCGCCTACCTTGGGTCTCTCTCTCTTTTTTCTCCCTCTGTGTGTGCACACGTATATTTCTATATTATATCACAAACACCGCAGCCACCCTTTGGCGCGTCTCTTATCACCTCAGCGGGGCCGTCTGCTCCTGCTGATGCTGTGTGATGTCTCTGATCCCCTGATTGGTCTGCAGCTTCTTCGTGCACGCACTCACACTCGTTGTTACAATACATAAAGCGCACTGCCTATGGGTAGCCGGTCCTTCTTCGTCCTCGAAGATTACTTTGGCATTTCACTTGTGTGGAAATTTAAAACGCGTGTTGCCCTTTGCCGGTCCCGATCTCTCCTCGCTTCGGAGCATCAGCCGCACCATCCACCAATTCTGGACCCAGCACACCTGTCCGCTGCTGCTGACGATGATGGTGCAGTGCAGCAGAACCCTCTTCTCCTCCTCCTCCCCCTGTCTCACTCTCTCTCTCTCTCTCTCTCTCTTCAAGTAATCAATCCGCACAACAGGTACAGAAGCAAGTATCCTGCATCATCGTAATACCTACTCCCGTAGCAGCCGGACATAACCCCCCGCTCTCCTGGCACTTGTACTCTCTCCTCTCCTTTGCTCGTTAACACCACTTACACTTACTGCCATGCACTGCTGGGGCCATTAGCACTATTTACATTGAATCAGTCAGCCAATTAGGCTCTTGCGGTCGTTCACTTGTGACGTGTGTGCTTTTACAAAAAAAAAAAAAAAAAAAAATGAGAAAGAAAGGAAAGAAAAAATAACAATAATAATAATTAAACCAGCTCGTCACGACCGTGTTTTTATTATTGCGTTCGTGTATCTAATGTGTTATCAATACGATGTATTGTAAGGTGTGTATAAAAAGTAGGTAGGTATAAGGTATGTACAACAAGAACGAAAGCAAACACGCGCGACAACAACAATGCACGGCAACAGTAGCAGTCAGCACACTCACGTCCCCAGACTCCGGAGAGTAGCAGAACGCTGCTCTCTCTCTCCAGCACGCACTTGTCCCTCTCTCCCCGACTCCGACGTGGAGTGACCGCCACGATATACGCGTTTTATGAACGAGAGAGTGTTATAATATGTGCTCCTTCACTCTCTCTCTCTCTGCGGTGTGTCTCCCTTTCTCTCTTTTATTGCTTCAATCTCCTCTCCTTGCTGTCCGCCGTCGTCGTTGTTGTCGCTAGGTCGTCGCTACCCAGAGTACCCGGCCATGTTGCCATCAGCAGCAGCCACTGGGGCCCGCACAAGCACAACTATCCTGATGCGTCTGCTGTTTCGACTCTTTAGCTTGATGCCTTGCGCGCGCTCTCTCTCTCTCTCTCTCTCCGTCCCTCTTTCACCAATGTCCATGGTAAATGACACTCAGATGTTGCGGAAAGGCATCTGCAGAAAAGTCGAGCCCCCTAGTACGTTGATTGTCCGTCGCGACGCTGGTGGCGCTCGAGATCAGCGGGTGATTATCGCCGAGCTTTGAAAGCTCTGATGGTGGGGTGGTTTTTTGAGTTAATCGTTCGAAAGTTCGAAACAATCGAAATTGCACGAAGTAAGTAGAACGTAGTGATAAAATATTATTCTCAACTTACTGTAAATGATTACGACTTCGTAAGAAAAATACTAGAGTTGTCATTTAAATTTATAATCTCTAGACTACAAATAAAAAAATTACAACACTGTAGTACAAAGCAATAAAGTATTTTATTTGCTTTACATAAAGTTAATTTCTATGATGATGAATTTATCAGTCATTTGTAGGCACTATTGTTACTTACTTTTTCACAAAAGAGTAAATGATAGTATCGTAAGTGTAATAGTTATTTTTATCACAACAACCGGTCAACAAGAACTGAAAATGTAAATGTTTACACAAAGTATTTGATAACTGCGTATTTGTCATTGGTTTGATTAAGATATACCTCTCGATCAATACTCGTAAGTCAATTATATAGGAATAACTTCCCAGCGCTTGTTCGGCAATTTTCAGATTCAATGAGGGGAAGAAAATGAAATGACCTTTTCGCACAACTCATGTAACACCAATCTTATCTATAAATGCTTTATCTTATCTATAATCTAAGATGAATATTATACATAAGATTAGCGTTAGACGAGTGGCTATTTACTCCCCTTTATTAAATTATAAAACCACCGCAACTTTCATTAGAGGCATAGATTATTATAAAAAATTAACTAGATAAGATGCGGCTGGTTTTGTTTTTGTAAAAGGGAGAGTCATTTTTTTGAAGATCGAAGATAAATTTAAATCTTGCCAGAAATGGCACCCTTTCGGAGCAAATTTTTATATTCCATCCGTTAGTCTAGGTTGCGGCTGGGTTATAGAATTGATTAAATAGCACTACTTAAATAACCATACGGTACATAACTTCACCAGAATGAAATTCGGATCTCCACTAATCATGATGGAGCTGAAATCAAAAAAATAATACCTGCCGCCAATGTCACACAAGTCGTGAAATTTTATGATCCATAGAAATTTACAGTGTTTTTGCGATATACTTTTGCCATGACAAGTTACATATTCCCTTTTAATCTTTATCTATTATGCACCTATATTGCATCTGGAAATATATATATGCATAATGCACCGACGTGTAATACGTGAATACACCGACATTTAATACACTTACAATCTACGACCAGAGAAAAAGGGTTGGGTGTTGTGAATTGTGACGAGGGTGATGATAAGTGATAACGCGTAGAGAGTGAAAGTGAAAGCAAAACTTCACAATTTCACAAAGCAAAGGTTCGGTTCCAATAAGCTATAAGTATACGTAAGCTACAACTTGCTAAACAATGGCGTGAATAGTACCTACAACATAAGTATTAGTGGAGTAACTACGATCTCTTTTCTGTTCTGCAAAAGTACCTATTGCATAATAAGTATACACTTTTCACGAGTATGACTTGTTAGTTTCACACAATTATTGGTGTATGTGAGTGTTTGTGAATAGTTTAATCATCATCGAACGACCAAAACATTTCAAGAGCAAGATTTTGAGGTTAGTTTTTTATCACTCACACTTTAAATGCGTAGCCAGATATAATAAAATTTAAGTGTCTATTTTAGTCAAAGTATCCCTTTTTAGTACTTTGAAATACATTCAATATTTCAATAAGATATATTCCATGTCATCTGATATAACTGCATTTTCTTTAGTTTTTTTTTTTTTGTTTACTAGAAAAAGTATAAGTATTAGCTGTAGGTATTGTTTTCTTTTTTACAGTATTGCAAGGTGAACATCCTTTGTTTTTATTTTAAAAAACAACATTGCGTTGTATTATTTTCATGAATACATCACATGAATGTCTGTGGTTGCACAATCATAACATAATGTCATTTCATTTCATTTTTATTTTTTTTTGCAGAGTCGGCAAGATTTAGAAAACTCGCAATGGCGAATTCAAAACAGTACGAATTGTACGGTTTTGAAACCGACGACCCTCCAGTTCGTATGAAGACTGAAGATGACTTAATACCTTTTTCGGTCATTGATCAGCCAACCAGGAATTGGTTGGATTCATTGGAGAATATCTGGAGTTTGTGTAAATATTCAGCTTTTTAATTTCAACAGTAAACTTTTTAATGGGTCGTTAAATTTTTTCAATTTTAATTTCAGGGAAAAAAAGTGTTACAGTTACACAAATGCTACACGAATACTTTGGCACTGCACCTAATCCTTACTTGAGTACTTTAAGAATTTTAGTCAATGCCAAAGACTTTTACCACGTGAAAAGCAAGTCATCATTGGCTTTTACAGGTTTGTTGATCTGTTTAACTGCAATAAAAAAGAGCACTCTAATTACTAAACTATTTTAGCCATAAATGGATTATACACTAATTAAGAAAAATTATATGTGTGATTTAAATATTAACTATTTACAGTCATTGAAGAATTTTCAAACTGGATTGTTCCACGTAAGGATAAATTTGATGGTTGTCTTTGTGTTGAACTAAAAGTTGCTGCCTTTCGTTTAATAATCAAGCAAAAGAACGTTCAACTCACAAAGACTGTATCTGAAATTTATGAATTCACCAGTGATAAAAAACATTTTATGGGTTTCATAATCGTAATTATTACTATCTAACTGAATGTTAATCATGCTTGTCTCTGCCCATTGCTGAATGAATATTTTTTTATTTTTAGGATATGCTAGAAAGCAAAAATTATAAAGATGCTGGTGTTAATGTGGAAATGCTGAAACTACAGAATGAATTTGATGATCCTGAAGTATTATTGATGCCATTAGTTTTGCAAAATAAAACGACTATTGCAGAAGATCTTATGAAAAATCAACCAGAATTACAAATTAAATTTGTTTCCTATTTAGATAATTTGTTGACGCATGATAATATAAGTAACGCCATTGATCGGTATATTTAGTAAGTGCTTATAATTTTTCCCTTCACAATTAAATACCGTGTAAAAAAAAAAACACCATTTAATTTCGTCTAAATCATAGTCACAATAATATACCGGACGTAAAATTTCAATATAGTCAAAATAAGTCCATTTCTAAATTAGTTGCCCGCTTGGCAAAGCTCTACAATGTTCCTCATGATGTGTGTCCGAATTTGAATAAAAAAAGAGGAGAGGGTGCAATCCAATTTCTGATTTACAAACGTTATGTAGAAGCAAGTTTGAGTGAGTAACGCTTTAATTTTGAACAATGTTTGTTTCTATGCAACTTTACCTATTAGAACTTTTTTTAATGATCCAAATATTTCTGCTCAGGTGTAGAAAGCTGGAGAGAAATGGCTAAAGAAGCCATTGGATCAGACTCAAGCCTGCAGGTAGAGGTTATAAGGAGTCTTGCAAACGTAAACGATCCTGCAGAAGCTTATTACTTTGTACAATTTTATAGCATTTCTCGCGACGAGTGGCCTTGGAATGTGAGGCAATATGTTGATGAAAATCCAGATTGTAATGTACCTTATTTTTGAATGTAAAAAATTGTGTGTTGTACTCAGTGGATTATGTTGTACTTTCAATTTTTAGCTGTTAATAATGGGGAAGTGAATGATGCACTGGATGAAAATTCTTGGGAAACCGAAGATCAAATATCTTATCATACACTGAATTTGCCCAGAAAATGTATTACAATTATAGATAACGCGAAATCTTTCGAAGATTTTTTAGTTTATGGTTTAAAGAACGTTAATGTTGTCGGAATTGATTCAGAGTGGAAACCAACTTTCGGTAAGGATCCTGAATTTATTTTCACTTGTAATAACCCTTTTAAAATGTCGTTTGACAATCTTAATTTTCTATTTCAGGTATTAAAAAACCAGAACTAGCTTTGATGCAAATTGCGACTCATTCGCACATATATATTTTGGATGTAACCGTTTTGGGATACCACAATCAAGATTTATGGAAAGAACTAGGAACTGCCCTATTTAACAACAAGCGTATTTTAAAACTAGGTAAATTTTCTTTCTTTAATCATTACTGCTTAATAAGATTGTTTAAAAGTAAAGTATTAATATTTCAGGTTTTGGTATCGCCCATGACATAACCATACTCCGTGAGAGCTTTCCAGTGCTTTCAAACATTCGAGCCTGTGGTGAAGGGTACTTGGATTTAAGTCATTTGTGGAACAAATTATTAAAAGAGGATTTCGTATTTCCTTATAAAGGCGATGTGTATTTTACGAGTAAAAATCTCAGCAAACTAGTAGAACTATCTCTTGGACAGAGATTGAAAAAAACTGATCAGTTTTCCAACTGGGAAAGACGACCACTACGTGAAAGTCAGATAACATATGCAGCGCTCGATGCTTATTGTCTACTGGAGGTGTATGACATACTAGCCAAACAATGTGGAAGATTAGGTATTCCCTTTCATGAAGTTTGTGCTCACGTAAACGACAATAAATCGTTCACAGACTTGAATGGCCCGAAATCTTCCAAAAATGAATCCAAAAAGCCAAATAACATGGTGAGATATTCAATGATATTTATTCGTTAATGCCGTAACGATTTGATGCTCTCAATGTTTTTCAATAGCATATTTGATCATTTGCATACTCATTGTAATAAAAAAACTGAGACGAGTAATTTGTTTTTCACAAATACCTTAAGTTAACGAAATCGCATTATTTATTTATTTTATTATTATTACTATTTTCGGTTATTATTACTATTGTTTATTACTATTGTTTTTTTTTTTTTTTTTTTTTTCTTTTAACAGGAACAAGAGAATTGAAAAACTTGTACTTAAATTGGTTTCCAAGCAATGATTGCTATTCAGTGTGTATTTAATACTTTTTTAGTTATTCGATTAACATCAAGATAGACAGTGCTGATCATTTTACTTTTTTTTCCATTAAATTATTTATTTGTGTATACTTGTAAAAATAGAAAATCTCTTAAACAGAACGATTTTTTGAGTTTCATGCAACGATTCTGTGTCATTACAAAAAATAAAATAAGGGACATAGTTACTTTATTGATGAAGTCTCGTCACTGATTATTTTTTCCTGCCTGCATAACCAATGTTTTTTTCATTCACTTCAAATTAAATTGTGCAGTTCAATTTGTCCAACAAACAAGCGTTCTGGACGAGCGTGCAACAATCGAGTTCTCGACAACCGCATTATGCTCACGACCAAAATACCGAGCCAGTCGACGATGCGACACAATCCTGCTCAACGGTACAGTATTTTTTTTTCTTTTACTCGAATACTTTTTCACTATATTTTCTTCTCCCTATGCACCGACTGATTTCAACCGATTTTTGCATTAGGCCCCGGACCAGGTACACCCCGAAGAGTTACTTGACCATCAACAATCCCAGCCACAGCATCCGTGCCAATCAAACATCAACAGCTGGCCGAGATTACAGCACCGGAAGCAGCGCCAGCACGTGCAACCGCGTCTTTTCGTCTGCGACTCGATGCTCGGTGGTTTGGCTCGTCAAATGCGGAAATGCGGTATCGACACCCTTCACTTCCTGCGTGACCGAGGCGGTGAGCTGTCGTTACGAGCGGCTCATGACAAGCAAGGCGTTTTGCTAACTCGGCATAACAATTTTTATCGGGTGAGGATGTCGGGTTTTCGGCTTTTACTGTCATTGTCACGGATTTGGAAAAGATATTGGTTTTGAATTATTCCCTTAAGTTGTTCATTTTTGGTTTCTTGTGGACAATCCGCCTTACAAGTTTTAATATAGCCCACCCTTTTAGTGTACTCGAAAAGTAATTTATTGATTGAAGTAATTCATTTGAATCGCCTTGTTACAATTACAGTTTAAAGAGTATTTACCACCTGGATATTGCTACAACGTGTCAGAAGTCAGAGTGGAAGATCAACTTGACGAAATCATTCATTACTACAATATTAAAGTCAACGAAGCAGACGTTTTCAGCCGATGCCAATTATGCAACTCGAATGAGTTTGTTTACGTTTCAAAGGACACGATGACCGGATTGATCCAAAGGTTCGTAGAAGATCATGTTTTACATTAAATATAATAGCCTATTATTATTCTATTGTGACTTATAAATATTACATTTTTATTTTTTACATTGACAAAAAAAATACACATTTGTTATTAGTCATACATCAAGGAAAAACAGCCCTAACTCCACTGAAGTTGGACAATCAAGCTCTGCCGAAGTTTGCAATCATTGGGACACCGAAGAAAAAGCATTTCAACAGATGCAGACCAATAACGAAAAACAGTTTCCCTCGCGTTCGTGGATCTTGAGTTATGGCTGTCTCAATGTCACGAACTGTTCAACCAAGTACAATGTCAAAGTACAAATTGATCGGGTGCCGCCAAACATGCTGCGATACCATTATTACGTGTGCGAGAGATGCGGCAAAGTTTACTGGTACGGCTCGCACATTGAACGGGCCTTCAATGGTAATTTAAGGAAAATTTTGAATTAAGGATGTACGAGTAGAGGCAAAAGCGATTTCTTGGAATTACGTATTTTTGTAAACTCTAGAGAGGTATTAGCTTGCTTTGCTACCACGAGAGAAAGTGATATGAGTATTTCTATGTTAGTTGTACAATATATATTTGTATACACGTATATTTTTCAATGAAATTTCTTTCTGTTACAATATTTTTACAAGAACTTACTTTTGTTTCGCTCGATAAGGTGTGTTCATAAAGAGATAGAGGTTGAGTGTGTTTACGACGTGTGTTCAAATGCAAGTTGTATTTGCTTTTTTTTTTAATTTTTTACTAGTGAGATGGATTCTTTACCTTTTTTAATATTTTACTACCACTATCACCGCCACTAAAATACAAAATTAATAGCTTGCTACATTTTAAACTTTACCAAAAGTGTAAAAGTTAATTAACATAGCCATACTTTAATCATACTCTAATCGATATAAAACAAATTTACAAACATTTGTGATATTTAAAATGTTGATAATATCTATACCTACTATTTAGGATATCGCTAATTTTAGCTTTAAGATTTTGTTATATTTTTGCTTTCTAGAAATGAGTAATTTTATTTTAAAGAAACTTTATAATTTTTGCAAAAAAAAAAATTTATTTTTATTAAAGATGTGTTACTGCCGAACTATGAATTGTAATCGTATAATCCGTGAATTGTTATATTAAAACGATAGCGTGTCTAAATAGGCGTATTTTTATGTGTTCCTGTCATAAAGAGTCAGTTATTTGAATGAACACTGAATTTTACGATGTACCTTATTAATACGAGAACGATGGAATAACCAATGTACACAGGGTTACTTGCTATTTACGTACGATAGAATTGATTTGTTATGTAGTTAACGTAAGGTCGGTCCATTTACGCCACAGGAATGTGACCTGACATCATAGTACAAGAAAACGATTATTTTCTGTTTGATATATTGAATGAGATATATTTTAGTTACATGAGTGCAGAATGGCTAACGAGCAAGAAGTATGTAGACCCATATTATTCTGAGTTCTATATATTTGTGAAAGCATAAAACATGATTTTGCTGAGAAACCAGTAGGTGTAGTGTTCCTGAAGTTGATTGATATTGTGTGATTTATTGCAACAATGGTACTTGGAAATATAGCAAAAAATGGTAGCAACAAAACTATGAAGATAGCTGTAATCAGCGGAAGGGACATTATGTAGCTTTGAGATTTGAAAATTAAACGCTACAAGCTAAAGAGCTTCAAATTTAGATCTAGAACGTAAAGATGAAGATTCCGAGTTTTAGCTCTGGAATATTTTGAATCTTAATACAAAACTAAAATGTATTGGATAATGAGTAATACCTAATCGCTAAAAATAAAATTTCTTCCATTTTTCAAATCAATCCGCATTTATTTATTAATAATAACGAACAATCTATATTACAAGAGCTCTAAATGTTCTTTTTCATGTATATAATACAAAATTCGAGTGATAACAACAAAATCCATCAGATGAAATAATTCACATGTTAAAATTAAAAGTTCCCTATTACGTTGGTGCTGGTTGAGGAGGAGTTGACTCCGGCTCCGACGATCCGGATGTCGATATCGGAGTGACGAAATCGACAGAATCAATAAGATTTTTTTTACCAAACGGCGGTGGCCCGATCAGTTTTTCAACCTCCTCATACGTAAGCGTTTCTTTTTTCAAAAGTTCCTCAGCAAGCTGCAATTTAATAGTTTAAATTCAATAATTACGTTCAATAATATTTTTAACACCAAATTACACACACATACCGTTTTCAATTTTTCTTTATTTTCCGACAGCAACTTTTCAGTTCTCTGGTAAGCTCTGGTGACGATCGTTTTTGCCTCTAGGTCCATCAAATTAGCCAACTTCTTACTATAAGGCTTACGCGTGTTCTGGAATTAGAAACAAAGCATTGAACGACAATTGCACTGCTGAAAACCAAAACGCACATTCTACCTTGTCAGTTTGCTCAGGCAAGAAGGATATCAGCCCAACAACCTCATCCATGCCGTACTGCTGAACCTGGGCATAGGCCATTTTGGTGACTTTTTCCAAGTCATTTTGTGCCCCAGTGGTCACTTTATTAAAAGTCAAGCTCTCGGCGACTCTACCACCCATGGCCATGCACATGCGCTCAAATAGCTGTTCCTTGGAGTACAGTTTCTGGTCACTCGTGGTAAACTGGGCAAAGCCGAGGGCACGGTTAGTCCGAGGCACTATTGTCACCTTCAACAGAGCGTCTGTGTGCTCGAGTAGCCAGCCAACCAGTGCATGGCCAGCTTCGTGGTAGGCTACCACTCGCTTCTCCGACGGTGAAATCGTACTGTCGCGCTTCTCGATACCGGCTATGACTCGATCCACTGCATAGAGCAAATCGTCACCGACTACTTTGGTCTTCTTTAGACGGGCGGCGTGGAGCGCAGCCTCGTTGCACACGTTAGCTATGTCAGCACCTGGTGAAAGAAAATAACAAACACCATTATCCCATTTACTCAGAGTACAACGAGCTAAACGGTAACTTGCCACTGAACCCTGGCGTCAAAAAGGCCAGTCTACTCGAGTAGCTCGCGGCGCTGTTCTCCAAGAAGATGCTCTTGAGATGTTGCTCGAAGATCTGTCTCCTTTCGGGTAAAGTCGGCAGATCGATGAGTATGTGCCTGTCGAATCGACCCGGACGCAGCAGAGCTTTGTCCAAAACCTCGGCTCTGTTCGTCGAGGCCAGGACGATGACTTCCTCCGTGGACACCATGCCGTCCATCTCGGTGAGCAGCTGATTTAGCGTTTGTTCACTCTCGCTGTTCGACTGGCCGCTCTCCGACTGCGAGCGCTTTTTCCCGATTGCGTCGATCTCATCGATGTATATTATGCTCGGGGCTCTATTTTGCAAAAAACACAATATTAACATACATCGAATTATATGCCTTTCATCAACTTCGTACCTTTTCTTTGCCTCTTTGAACAAGTCGCGAACGCGAGCGGCTCCGAGACCTCCGATCATCTCGATGAATTCGGAACCGTTCATCGACAAAAACGGAACGTTGGATTCCGTAGCGACAGCCTTAGCCAGGAGAGTCTTACCACAGCCTGGTGGTCCCAATAGCAGAGCTCCTGTTGACGAATTTTCGAATATTTAGATAAAAAAATCAATCCTCCATAGAATAAAATAAATACCTTTTACCTTTTGGAACTTTGGCTCCCAGAGCCTTGTAGCGGTCGGGACTCTTGAGGTAGTCCACAAACTCCATGACCTCGGTCTTGGCTTCTTGCAGGCCAGCTACGTCTGAAAACCGGACGCCCTTACCAACGCCCGTCAGTGGATCGACTAGGGTGAATTTCGCTCTCGTTAGCTGGGAAAACATGTTGGAGCCAATGTTCGTGCGCACGGACGATTTGGACAATACCAATGCCAAAAACGCAATGAGCGCAAGAATAATCAGCACGTGGGCATAGGAGGACTTTGGCCTGTCGTAGATGATTGGTATTCCGTTCTCTGTGAAGGATGGAAAGGGGTTGTAAAAACATTTGTAGTTGATTTGAACAAACGTGTGATGCCAAGCGTCACCCAACCAGGTTTTATTCCAAGAGATTCTTCGGCCTCTCTGACTTTTTCTTCTAGCTTTGTTACATTGGGCACTACCATATGATAACTCCTGAACGAACTTCGTTTTCCCTTGATGATAGCTCCTTCGTGGAGTACAATAGTGACCATGTCGATTTCTGGTCTCACTATGAGCTCTTTGACCTCACCTTTAGCTAGCATTTGATGGACGAATTCATTCCACGAAACGAACTTTGCTGACTTTAATGGAATGATTATTGATCAAAGTAACAAGAAATTTTTTTTTGACTAATATATTATGTCAAGGCTTAACGAAAGTTAGTGGTACTTACTTCGTTGGGATCTGGTGGACTTGAATTAAAAGTATACAACAGCCATAGAAAACTCATGTAACAAAACATGGTCCACACAGCTAATTTAAGTAGCAAAGATTTCACCTTGTCGTCGTTTTCTTTCTTTGGATCATTTGAGTTGGATGAGCTGGAATTATTTTGGTTCAATTTTGCACATGAAGTGTGTAAATATCTACAATACTTGATTGGATTTGTGTGACACAATTTGGCGAAACCACTGCGTACCAACAGTGAATTCACTGCCTTGTGTTCCTTGTGTATTTGTCTCAACGACTGAAATAAAATACGTAAGAAATAAATTTGAGCAGCTACCAATGGAAAAATCCCATTTGATAAATATAAGAGTCATACTTTGTGAGATAACGATCCAAAAAGGCAAAAGATGTTTTGATTGGGACATCTTGGAATTTTATTACTTTTGCCAATGTAGCGATGCAAATGGTTCAAGTGTTTCACTTTCGAACGTAACATATTTCGATTGATTGGCTTCAGGATGTTCTGCATCTCGACGTATCCTAATTTCTTGTCAATTTTTTTTTGTAAAATTTAAATTGAAATTGGAGCATTGCACTTTCAAGGTTAGACACCTGTCCACAACAGAAGGATCGTACACATTTTAATGCTGCTTCTACGAACGGATTACATGAAATACGCTTAAATGTAAAATAACAATCAACCTTTTCCAGACAGTCAATCACATTGATAAATTTTATTCGTTAAATCATTGTAGCAGAAGATGTTTTTTTTGTGTGTATCAAACTTGCGATACAGAACGCAACGCCACCACACTTAGAAGCGCCATCTGAGCAAGGTAAATAATTTATTTATTTATTTTTAACATTATTATGCAAATAGTTTGTTTTATATTCTTAAACCACTGCAATGAAGTCACAATGGTTATTTTAATTGATGTATAAAAATAAATATGTTTACATTTGTAAAACTTTGTTTCAATGTTTTGTACTTACAAAAAGTTAGAGTGGGAAATCAAATGGTTTGACATGTTTGATCTTCAAAAAAAGGTTTATTGTAGTAAAATATTAAAATTTACAAGCTATAACGCTTCTTTCTTAAGCCAAGTATGATAAAGTTAAGATCATTAAGTATATGTATTTACAAAAATCAGCTAATTTGCAAGGTAAATTCAGTAGATTATATTTAACCAGAGCAGCCTCTGCATCCACAGTGGATACACTCTACAATACGTCCTTCTTCTAATTTACTTTTTGGTACTCTACAAATGCAATTCGTTCCAAAGTTAGTGTCTCTGGTTTGAATGCAGCGGACGCAGCACAAATTCTCGTATCCTGTTTTTTTCCACTTTGCAATAAGGTTTGGATCGGCAATTTTTTCACTTACACAGTAATCGTACAATTCTAGAAACGAATATTATAAAATATTTTCAATGAATCATGCCTATTTCTGGATTAATTAAATGTTGACATTGTATCATTATGAAACGTTTTCTATACCTCTACTAATAGCTTTGCGTCTGAAGAACAAGTCATATATGTATCTTGATTTCTGGTGATGTATTTTGAAGATTGGCCACAAACTTTCTTGTTTTCTTTTTCCCTCATGAGGCTCTGTCTCAGCTGCAGAACAGTTGTTTATTAGTCATATGAAAAACAGAATCAATTTATATTATACAAGAAGATAAAGATTTCTTTGGCGACACAACACTATCTACATATCCAATAAAACATCCATCATGCATAAAATTAGCAAATAAAAGATTTGTCAATTCTGAAGACAAAAACGAACCTTCTCGCATCTTCTGTTCTAGTTCTTCTAACGTTGGTTCTATAAGTTCCCATCCTTCTGGCGGTGCTTTTTTGCTTCTGCGAACTTTTGGCATTTCTTAATATTTTGAACGCTGTGTCTATTCGCATCAAATCCACGTAATTACGTGGATATAAGGTTAGGAATTTTAAAGAAAAACGCTACTTTTTCTAATGAAGCGTCTCACATCTCTCGCGCTTCAGGCTCTACTCGCCAGGTGGCCAAGCCCCTAATAGTTCGCTCTCGCCAAGCGGCGAAATTCCCGCACGATTCATATATATAGCGCCAGTTTAATACAAGAGGTAGTCAACTTACTGACCTGACGGGCTGACGGTAACGAAGAGTGCAAATTTAAATTACTAGCTGATGACGACGATTGCGGAAAACACCTCAAGCGGCGTTACCACGACCTACGTAGCTTTGCGGCCTCTGATTTTATCATTCTGGTATAGAGAGCACGGTGTAAGATGTACGTGAAGTTATGCGTAACAATTAAAGTATAATTACTACTAAGTAATGCCATATGGTCGATTTTATTAAACCATATGAATATCTATATTTTTGGAGGTCGACTTTTGGGTAAAAAATAGATTGTAAACTTGCCGCAAACAGCACAAANACGTACGTGAAGTTATGTGTAGTAATTAAAGTAATTACTACTAAGTAATGCCATATGGTCGATTTTATTAAACCATATGAATATCTATATTTTTGGAGGTCGACTTTTGGGTAAAAAATAGATTGTAAACTTGCCGCAAACAGCACAAATCTCGTCAACTTTTTATTATCTATCTATAATGTAAGTTGCGGCTGGTTTATAATTGACTAAATGGCTCTAATCCAGAATGCTCTGATTGAGAATTTTAGGAGCCACTTTTGGCCAAAAAATAAAGACCGCTAGATGGCGCTGATCCAAAATAATTGTTGCTACTTACAGTGAAGTCACTTTATTTATTATAAACCAGCCGCAAAAAATTCTATAGATAGATAATAAAAAGTTAACATTTTGATGCTGTTTGCGGCAGGTTTACAATCTATTTTTCATCCAAAAGTAATGTTCGTGCGCACGGACGATTTGGACAATACCAATGCCAAAAACGCAATGAGCGCAAGAATAATCAGCACGTGGGCATAGGAGGACTTTGGCCTGTCGTAGATGATTGGTATTCCGTTCTCTGTGAAGGATGGAAAGGGGTTGTAAAAACATTTGTAGTTGATTTGAACAAACGTGTGATGCCAAGCGTCACCCAACCAGGTTTTATTCCAAGNAATATAAACAGTTACAAGTTTAGGAGGCTTTGTTTAATATACAGTTGGCGGTATTCTTTTAAATGTATTTAGATACTTTATTACTACATAATAAACCATCTGATTAAATAGCATTTGACGTAATCTAAGGAAATACTAAATTTTGCTAAGTGTAGAAGCAAGTACATTCAAGACGAAGTGATCTTCACTTAAATGTGCTTTCAGAATACGACAAAATGCTTCTGAAAAATTTTATTTCATTAATGCCTTCATCAACAGTATGGAACATTGACATGACTAACATGACATAGATGATGCATCAATCATAAGTGTACTCGTTCCAGTGTCGTTTCATTCGGTTCAAAAGTTAAATAACCGAATATTATAAATTATAAATGAGGTTTGGAACTTTTGCCTTTGGATGTATACTTTAAATTCATACTTCGATCGAGTGATATTTATTCGATTGAATTAGGTGAAAATTTTTGATGCATCGTTGGAAGCGGTCGGTCGGTTGCATGAGACGCGGTCGAACGCTGTCATACACAATACTCAGCTATGTGGCCGCGGCCTAAAGTTAACTGACAATACTGACGCTATGTATAAACATCAATATCAGCAATGTTCTAAATATATTAGGCAAGTTTTCCTACATGAGTTTATTTTATTTGTCTTTAAAAATGTTAGAGTTCGCATATTTGCCCAGTGGTATTAAACTTGCGAAACAGTTTTGGAAGAATGTACAACATATTGTGTTTGTATAAGTAAGTAGCATAATTACATTAAATAGTAAGTGCCATTAAGTAGTTACTTGAGTGTATCATGTGTGCGCCATTATTCGTTATCAGAAAAATTATTCGGTTCTCGTAGCCGACCTACATCCGTCCGATAACCTAACCTCTATTCTATAGAGTAAACAAAACCCCATAAATATTACGCGACCTCATTACTTATTCACGCGCATGCTTTTTATGTTTCTGGTTTGGTTAGTTAGTTGAAGAATAATTTAGTTAGTTAAAGAATTTCTGACGTGTAAATAAAGGGTCGTTGGTAGAAGCTCAAAATTTTAAACCGTTAGTGAGCAAACAGAGACGTACCCTTTGCTTGATTCATTTTTAAAGTTCCATACAGCTTCTTAATTTTCTTACAGACGTTACTACCACTGCGGCAAGTTACATTCCGATTGCCGAGTTTGTTGCTTAACAACATCCCCGAGAGTCGGAACGTGCTCAAGTTGGTTATTTTCTTGATCTTTCATTGAAGTTTCATTATATTTTAATACTTCCCCTGTTGGTTATCATTTTATTAAAAATTCTTTTGTACATTTAGATGATGACATACGTCAGAATAATTTGATGATCTGTAAAAGTGTCTGAGACTTAACTAAACAGTCAAGACTTTTGAATAAAATTTTCATTTTCATTTCAACTCAATTTTTTCTTGAATACATTACTAAAAAATTTGTAATGAAAACAAAAAATTTTATTTTGAGTGTAAAAGAAATAGTTGACAATTTATGTTTTGAAGCTAGTTTTGCCAGATAGTTACTTGGTAGTATTTTTAATTTGCCAGGATCTAATGTAATGTATTTCAAACAACTGAATTTTTTTGTGTTACAGATATAGTTATAAAAGTATTCAGATAAAGAAAGTTGCTCTTGAAGTAAGAGTTCAGATGCATACAAAAATTATATTTGAAAGAATATTTTTTTCTTATGTCTCTATAAAAACTGACTCTATGGTTTCATGTCAACTGAATCAGACTTCACAAAAAGGTTTGTACTTTCATTACAACTGCAATATGCTTATTTAATGTTGTATATGCTACCATGTTGATTTTTAAAGTTTAAGTTAATGAGGTCAACCAAAAAGTAGTTTGCCTTTCTCCTTCCACATACAGGTGTGGTAAAACTTATTAAGTTAATATATTTTCCTCGGTTTCTATTAAGTGTCGCTTATGTTAGATAAATGCACGGATTTTTTAAGTATTGTCAAGTAGTCATAGTAACAAGGTTAAATTAACACTATTTTTAATTTAACTACATTTCATACTTTCCAATTTCAATACATACCAATCAACTGAAAAGTATATGCAATTAGTTGAGGAAAAAAAGAACCGCTTTAAGTTGTTTTTTGCAGCTTCAATGCAGTATAATACTTGTAGGTGATACTCATGCATATCTTTGTATGAAATTCTCCATTCTTCTACAGGGTATTTCCCAACATAATTTTCATGAAAACACGTAGTGACTCTCAAGTATGTGTTGTTTTACACATTACGCAAATGAAACTAATAAAAGGTTAAAAATTTGCTGAAATAATTCTTATTTTAAGGTGGTCATGCAATATTTATACTAGTGGGTTAAAGAATGATGTTAGGTACGTTACATCCATCAAAAGTTGTAGCGACAAAAACAATATTTTTTCGAACCAAGTCGAAGTACAAAAGCACTACTGAAGGTCAGGCTGTACAAACCAAAAATAATAATCTACTAGAGCGATTTTGTACTACGTCATAACATAAACAAGATTAATTATTCGTTACGATATAAAATAGTTCCTAATCTTAAAAATCCAACAAAAATTACTTTCAATGCAAAGTAAACTAAGTGTCCGTAATTTAAGGGCTGTTTGTACCATACTTGTTAAAAGTATTTGAATCTTATGAGGTACTATCAAATACGTAGGTGTTGGAGCACCGTTCGTCTAAACTATTTTTTTTTCTTTCATAAAAGAAATCACAGCTAGTGATGTAAGAGAAAGACTGTTGTTAATGTCAATGTCACTATTTTTAATTTTTTTAAAAGAAATCTACAATAGAGCAAAGGTTTTTTTGTTAAATTGTACTTTGTTTTTTTATTCTTATAGGTTTTTCCATTGATTATGATTAACTAAAATACTACTTATCATATCATCATAACTTGCTGAGAAAAATCTATTTTTTGCTCTATAGAAGCCTATGGTTAATTTAGTTATCTAAATTACAAACTAGCAGTAGTTATAATCTACTACTCACAGCCTACAAGGATTGAAAGGAAAACTTACAGAAAATCCCCAAATTCGGAAAAAGTTGAAATTATTTTTGGGCCTAGAACGCGACACACCGAAAAACTTGAAAAGGCTTTAAAAGAGTGAGTCACTCCGTTTTTATTTGACGTTTACAAATTTTCCCACATTCTAAGGCTGTACGTAAAAACTAAAAGCTCTCATCCTACACATGTGCCGCGATAACTTTTTAATTTTTTTTAATTTTTTTATTGTCGCAGATCACCTGACTGGGACATTAAAATTAAAAATTGTAAAAATTGTAATTTTTTTTCTATTTCCTTAAATCTCATAACAGATAGTAAATATTGATTACCCCGTGATGTATTTTAATGCATTAAATTTTTCCATACATGAACACCAGTAGCCCACAAAACGAAGGTCGACCACCAATATACAGACTAATTAGAAAAAGGACCACACAGCCGCGCATTATTTCAGTATCGCTCCACGTCTCGAAAGCTCTCTTTAAAAAATAAAAAAAAAAGGTCCACCAAAGTCACGTCAATTAAATATAAATTGGGCCGAAATTCCAAAGCAAAATAACTCGACGTGTACACATTATACATGAACGAATCCACGACGGTGAAAAAAACGGGGCAAAGTCGAGTCGAGCGTCCGCTCGTCCAAAAAGCCAATAGAAGCGTACACCTAGAGGTTTTTTTTTTTTTTTTTTTTTTTTTTCAAAAAGCCTCTATAGCTTACGTATGAAAAAAAAAAGTTGGAGAGACAGGGAGCGTGAATATTTTTACCCGAGCCTGTTAACTACACTCTGTTATTTTATCTCACGTGTGTACAGGGGCCTTTTTCGCTCTCACATGCACGCCCTCGTATACACAAGAAGAGTAGTTAGC